CATCTACAGCTTTAAGCGATAATGAGAAAGATGACGATTTAGGTGAAACGTATTCTACTGTAGACGCTAATGCTGTTCCAACCATTTCTGAAATGACAAAAAAATGTCAGAAACAAAAATTACAGACTTGATGAAGTAGATTTCAAATTGAATTTGTTCTTTTAAGTCATACTTACTAACTTTTACTACTCTATGTAAAAATAACGAAATAAAATACACCACGTATTTTTGTATTATTATTCGCTTATAGCGAACTCCGGATATAACGACAGTTTTAGTTCATTTTTCAAGTTCGTTATATCCGGACTCAACTGTATTACCATAGATTAATGTTCAGTTTGTAGGAATTTACAATGAAAAAATCCTATTGGCCCACTGTCAATATCAAAATACTTAATGTAGTGGAGCCCAGTCGCTGGCGTACATAGAAAAACTATTCGACAAAATATTAGACCAGTGACTCCCTAGAGAATAGAAGGAAGTTGTAAAGATATTGTACATAAAATAGGAGGAAGAAAAAGCCCCGACAATTAAATTGTCTTAAGAATTAACTATTTAAGTACACTTAAATAAACAAAACTGTTTACTGCAATGCTAAATCTTCGCAACACGAAGTCAGTCGAAAAAGGTGAATATTTCAGCTCAAACCTTTGCATCAATTAATTAAATTAACATTTACATTTTATCTTGTAATACCACACGTACCTACTTCTATAACGGACTTCGTAAACTGAAAAGTAATTTGTCGGAAAACTTATTTTTCTAAAATCATAGTTTTCTGGCAGCGTTCTTTAACACGCTAATGGGTATCTTTGTGAAGCAAATAGCGATTTGAGAAATTTAATTATTATAACTGATATGGTAAATACAGGTTTTAAACCCTGCATCACATGAACTTAATCATGGGGATATAGCTCAGTGGTAGAGCATTCGACTGCAGATCGAGAGGTCCCCGGTTCAAACCCGGGTGTCCCCTGTGTACTTTTTGCGATAGTTATTGCAAAATTTTTATTTTAAATTCAGCACCATACGTAGATCAGTTGGAAAAATTGCCCCTAAGGTTTATTTTTTACATACAGAGTCTTTCTTCGATGACTCGTACAGGGATCTTTGGAACTTGAGCAGTTACGAAGAAGGTCAAAGGGACGAAGAATTGTAGTTTTGAATACTCTACTTAACACCAATTTTAATTTTCTAAAATTTGACAGCTGTCAAGAGATATTTGGGAAGAACTTATTTATGATAAATTTTTAAATTACTCCTAGTTCCGTTGACATTAAGTTGACAGGAATATGTTAAATAGAAAACTTGTGGGAAATGGAATTCCAAACCAAATGGCAAAAGACATTACTTCAAAATAACTGTAATTTTTGGCATATGACACAAATTTCAGTTTTTTTAAATGACAACCATACTTGATTATTGCTTTACCGAATAGAGCATTTTATTTCGATTTCTGTGATATATCACATCGTTAGATTTTTTTCGAAAATAAAGTGGCTGCGAACAATTTGTACTTTTTCAATTTAGTTGATCGAAGTTAGCCATGGAAAATAGTATAAGAGATACAGCATTCTTTCCATAGTAACAAATGTAGTATTTTTCCCAAATACCCCTTGACAGCTGTCAACTTTTTGAAAAAAATTGGCTTCAAGTAGATCATTCAAAACGACAATTCTTTGTCCGTTTGACCTTTTTCGTAACTGCTATAGTTTAGAAGATTCTTGTAGTGGAAAAAACTCATCCTGTATAAAGAGGAAGCTTGTTGCCTACAAAAAGTTTTATATTTTAGTGGCAGTTATTGTAATTCTTCCCTTAGAACTGCATACTCAATTCTGATATTGAGATTCGTCTGATTTGAAGGGTTTTTCATTTTGTTATATACAAAATTGAAAGCGGCAACAATGTTTTTGCCATTATCAGGAAGTTATGGGTCGATAGCTTCTGCCAAGAATGACAATCTTTTGGAAAATTGTGCCTTAAAGCTGGTTCACACGGTAACATTAATGTCGTGATATTCAATGTCGTGACGTGAATTCCACAACAATGTCATTGTCTGAACACCCGAATGTCTCAATGGCATAGCGTCGTGACGTTGGTGTGACATATCGAAATTGTTAGATATATGACATCGCGACGTCGTGACACTGCCGATGTCTCGGTGACATTTTGACGTTTCTTGAAGCTTATCAATCGTTGGCGCGATATTTTCATTTGGTTTGGTTTTAAATCATGTCCCTTTTGATTTGATTACATTTCTGCAATATTACCAATCATACCCAGGTCTATGGGATAAATCAATTTCCGATTATAAAGATAGACAAAAACGTTCCATTGGTAGAGTTTCTTAAGCACCTAGTTTGTTTCCACACATAATCCATTGCGCCAATTCTTTGCGCTTTTCAGTTGATGCCGTTCTCTGAGTTAATGAGTTATAATTCATTTATTACACTGGATTAAACCTTTAAGGGACTGGATCTTCATCATTTTTCATGAGTACCTAATCTTTTACCACTTTGTGGAAACAACAAAAAAAAACACCTCATCGTTTAACTCATCATTTAAGTGACGCTTTCCCAGCGCAACGGAGCTCACCTACTGCGCCGGTTCGTTGAGTTGGCACAACAAGCTGTTAGCACAGCACTGCGCTAGCTCGTAAAAAATTCACTGAGTTACTCAGGCCTAGATTGAAGTTATGTTTACTTCTGTATACTGCAAAACGGGTCAAGCAATATATCTGACACTAAAGAAATGTTTACGGATGTTTTTCTCCACTAGCCCCGGGTAACACAGTGCATTTTCAGGGGTTGACGCACTAATACCGACACTTGTTGTGCCAATACAACACTTTTGATGATGCAGTTATCTCATAAAATGATAAATGTGTTGGAGATAACAGCGGACTTTGCGTTAGGTCATGTGTAGTGGCGCATTGACTTTTAAGCTGCGCAGCGCGTTCAATCCCTTTTTCGTTGGTTTTACTGCTGAGAGACCGGTTGCATTGATTTAATGAATGGAATAAGTGAAGTCGCAACAAAGTTTCTTCCTGTAATGTCTAGTTGTCTCAAAAGCGAATTTTCGGAAAAAAGACTGTCAGGGCTGCAATTTGCGCCAACACTGCATTCTTTTTATGATACACGATTAGAATTTCGGCCATTAACAGCACCGACACCGAACCGAGACGAATAAGAATTCATCAGTAGATAAGCAATTTTGAGCACGAACTCGTTTTGGGTGCACGCCACCCTTACAAACTAGGCCATATGGAATGAGATGAAAAAATTGTAATTCAAGGTGTTACAGCGCATTCATGCACAAAGCGGCATCAACACAAACGTGTCACGCAACACAGTATTACCCAGGCCCCTTTACTTCTTCCTACAAATTTTCAATCAATCCACAGGTTCGCAGATGAAGAATGCAGCATGGATGGATCAGGTAGCATCATTAGTGTCCAGATCGGACTGCTAGTGACTCTAGTGGCCGCCCCATCGGCCCGCGGCGGCTTTGCCTGCCTCAGCAATCCTTGTCTGCATGGAGTCTGTATGGACGACTTGAACTCCACCTACTTCTGCTACTGCATCGATGGGTACACTGGATTGCAGTGCCAAACTAACTGGAACGACTGCTGGTCGGCACCGTGCCAGAATGGAGGAATGTGTGTCGATGGCATAGCTGGATTCAATTGCACTTGTCCTACTGGATATGTGGGTAAGTGACTGGAAAATGGCTCTGGACACTACACAACACTTGCAGTGGAAACTTCAAGCGGTTTTTGTGGTTGTGTGCTGTCTATAAGCAGAAAGTGTTGAGTTGTTAGTGTCTTTGGTATAAACGAATACATGAGACACCAGCTTTCCGGTATGAGAATGCAGTCCTTTGTCTGGACAAGAACTTTTTGAATGACGAACTATGCCTAAATAATGAAAAGAATGAATGAAGCAAATTGAGCATTTGTAGAATAATCGAAATATTTGGTTGTAAGGCGACTTATGCGAAGAGGACTTCAACGAATGCGAGAGTAATCCTTGTTGGAACAACGGCACTTGCGTGGACGGGCCGAATGGTTACTTTTGCCAGTGTCTTCCAGGTACTAATACTCTCCTGGACTATCTGCTTCGTTTGTTTCTAAGAGGCAATTTTTGTAGGCTACCTAGGCGTTCATTGCGAAGTGGATGAAGCAGTTTGCAACATTACTGGTGAGTCTCGATGCCATAACGGAGGCGCATGCGTGGAAGGACCGGGAGACCGATTTTCCTGTCGTTGCCAGCAAGGTGAATCCGCAAGAACTAAGGGTGGTGGTAATTTTTTTCAAAATTAAAATTCTGCCTAAGGTTGGGAAGGTTTTCTGTGCGACGTCGAGACCAATGAGTGCATGTCGTCCCCATGCCAAAACGGCGCAGTATGCATTGATATGCATGCAACTCATGAATGTGCCTGCCCCTTTGGTGAGTCAAAATTTCGATCCGATTTGCGATGATACAGCGCCGCAGGATGAACTAAAGAGCGCATAAAATGCCTTTATCTACTTGCGGGAACAATTAGCTAATACAAACAACCATGCGAAGAATGGACCCTATGCATGAAATTTATTTTTGATTAAAAACATACTAGAATACAAGTTTTGTTGCATATAAATATACTGCAAGAAAAATACGGAAAAAACGTATTTTGCTATTAAATGGGCTTTCAAATCTGATCAAATTGAGGTCATGCGGAAACACCATGTGATTGGTCTGACGTCAGAAGACACGTCGGCCGTGTAAACCGCACAGTTACCTTGTGTGTTGCTTTATTAGTTTATTTTTGTTGTTTTGTTCTTATCCAACCATCCACTTTTTTAGACAATAACAGTAGGTATTGGATGTACGACCACCAAAGAGGGTGAAATAAAGGTAATTATACCATCTGGTGTGGAAGATATCAGATACTTGGATTCCAATTTCTAAGCAATCTATTATAGCATAAAGTTTGCGAAAACGTATTCTGAAGGGTATCGGAAGACCTTTTTTGACTCTATCAGCTGGCATCCACGTTATCAAACTTTTCAACATTCGATTGATTGGTTCAACGAACTTTGAAGAAATTCTACTAGCAGTAGGTATGGGAGAGTGGGCCACCATAAAACTAAAAAAGTTAAAGTGGATTTTTTTCCAAACACTTTGCATGATCGTCCAGAAAAGTTGATTAGCTGGTTGAAATTGCATTGGGGCACACAATTGGGGAGTTTTAGGCCCCTTAATTGCAACACGTTTTATGTTATTCGCTATTCTGAGCATGCGCATTAGTAAAGAAATAACCGTTTACGTTATTAGAGGATAACGTCTTCCTTTATTTACGTACGAGTAGTGGTAACGTTAATAAGCATCACGTTAAAAAGTAGAAAGACGGTGTTGACATATTTGACTTATTTCTAGTATTATTAATAAAATAAGCGGTTATAATGGAATAAGAAATGTATTGTAAACTTAAGTAACATTTTTTCATTGATTAATTTACGCCATTATTGCGTAATTCCGGATTTTACGTGAAAATTGTTTTGGGCAAATTTGAACTTTGGCAACACCACTAACATGGCATGGACAGGTTCTAATTTCTCACCCATAACCTAACTATTTGATTTTGAATTTTTATTTAATATGTTGTTTGAAACACGCTCCTTCTGAAACCTAAAATTGATAAGGCAATCTCCGGGCTCAATATTTTCTAAATTAAAAATAGCTCTTCGGTTTGCAACAACAGCTGGGTCAAAGATCTCGTGTAAATTTAAGAATGTTATTAAATCGTGATTCACATCTCCCTGGTCATTTCGGTGCAGAAAGGCAGCTTCAATGTTTCCTTCCATCTTAGCCACTTTTTGTTTAATAACAGTATAAACTTAAATTAGCTTTGAAATTTTTGCAAATAAAATGGGATAAGGAAACATCAAGTGAGGTTTATTTTATTAAGAGTACGACAAACGCGGTATCAAAACCTAAAAACGCACTTAACGTTATTTGCCTAAACAGGTTATTTTTTTAACATCGCGCATGATCATAATAACCTTTAGCGTTTAAGGCCAACGTAATTTTAAAGGGCCTAAAAACTCTCAATTACTTTAAATTTAGAGCTATTTTTTAAAGTTTAATTTTCTGACAATCTATTATACATCAATACGACATAAGTAAATCAATAAAAAACGATAAGTGAAACTAAAAAACCTTCATTTCCACTACAAAATTGTCAAATTTTGCTATTCTAATCTTATACATTAATTTAATTAGCTTTCAACTCGGATTAAACAAAATTAAAACAAAAAATACTCAAAAATTTTAGTCTTAGAAAAACACTTAACGAATATTAAAATTGCTAAAATGTAAGTCAAATTTATAATAGGACTGCAAAATTTTTGTTTTACCTAAAACACATGGCGAAGGCAAAACACTTTTATGTCTTTGAAGGCAACAGTTCCAAAATCATGTTGATCAGGGCATTATACAATGTGCCCGCTAAATTTCCCTGGCTCAATTAACTTCAACTTCTTCGGATGTGTCTCCAGAAGTAATAATATTCCCTACGAAGAAAACCTTTCTATTCTTTAAATTATTAAACTCAACTAACACAAAATCACCTTCTTTGGGTGGTCTCTATCTAAATCTTCGCAGTTGGATCGGGTTCAGGTATCAAATCAGAATGGTCGTCTGAATTCCCAAATGGGACATCTTCTCCGTCCTCATCGGAAGACATCTATCTCCTTTGTTAATTTTTTAAAATTTTTTGAAAAAACGTTTCTCTTTGCTGCTCCTTTTTTGGAAACTTCTATCTTTCTCTTCTATTTCTTTGCATTTCATTTCAATTTTCTCATTTTCTTGAGTATTCGTAGGGATGATACTTGTTGCTTTTTTTCTTTGAGTTCTGGAGAGCGTTCTTTTAGTCTTTTTTAGGTCTTTTAGTCTCAAATACCTCTGGACTTAAAAAAGTATTGGAACAATCCACTTTGTCGGCACTTTTGTACAAATGTTCGGAGTTTATATCGGTAGCAACTGCCGAACCTTGATTTGTGCTTGAATCAAATGCCGCTAAGCTCAAGGTGATTCAAAATTGGCGTCACTCCTCTGGAGGCGTTATCTGACGCTGTTAGAAGAGTACAGAAAAAATAGTAAAATAAATGAATTGTTATTAAAAACTGATAAATTTGCAAAATACTATATCAGAAATACGGCAGCAATGTTTTTCAAAGTAATCTGCTAGATTAATATTGTGCAAATACCTGTTGGTTCGTAATTACTTAAAACTCCGGTAACCATGGAATTATGCAGACTGACAATAAGATAGACAAGGATAAACGGTAAATTCAACAAGATTTGTTGACGAAATGTCAACCTGTTCTCATAACCTCAACCCTCAAACCATACAAGACCAAACATTTGCACAAAATATCCCCCTATGTATGTTCTGTGAGCATTTGAATGGTTAGCTCCAAACACGCTAGTGCCTGTGTAATCTCCTTATTATCCACTCCTATCAAGCAGCTTCTCGTATGCAGTTAATTAACTCCTGCGCCATTGGTATCTCCTTGTGTTGTGTGTATCGTACAAACGTGGTAGGAATGTAGCCCTTTTTCGGTATTTATTTGGTGCTTGGGACAGTGCCAGTTATTGTGCTCTGAGTGCCCCTGGAAAGCCCTGATTCGATTATGTTCAATACTTGTTCCTCTGTGCCTGGAACCCGAACATCTATTGTCGTCCACTATCTTCCTGGAACCACTCTCCTTGCCCTTTGTTGGCGTGAGTTCTTTAAGCTTCTGCCATGTTACTGTAGCATTTTCCCTATCGCTAATTCGTGAATCTAACTAATCGCAAATTCGTGAAAGGAAAAAGTAAGTCACAGTTTGACAAATTATTGTTATTATTGACAAGCGCTATCCACCTGTAATTATCTGTTAATGACAAAAAACATCATTGCCGCTGTGCCTTTTCATCAAAAAATTGTAGAAGAGAACTTTTTTGATATCAAAAAGTTTCGTAATATGAAGCAAAGTTCGTAATTTTTCTTTTTGAATGCTTCATTATTTCAATATGCTACCAATTAAAAATGGAACAGTTTCGAAATAATGCTTAATAACAAAGTTGAAATTCGATCTTCAACTGTTAATATCCTTTAGAAATTTTCGAAAAAAAAAATTTCAATATTTTTCTCGTACTCTCCAAGTGAGCCTCTATCACCCTTTAAAAGGAATGACGCCAATTTTGAATCACCCTGTATAAAGAACTTCCGAACGGCACTTGAGGCACTCATCTGTGATGAGTTTGAAAAGAAACACCATTGCGATCAGATGATTTTCGCAATGACATTTTTACTCCACTTACTCCCACTAAAACAAACTTCTGAAAATGTACCCTTCTGGGACTTTCTTTTGCGACCCCTTGACATCTAAAGATACATAATCGCCCAATTAATTATTAAAAGTTTAAAAGTTTTTTCGTAAGACAATGTCTCAAGGTGGCCTCAAAAAGTGTCTCATGATAGCCCATTTACACGTTATAACTTTGTCAAATTTTTGGTAAATTCGATTTAAAATCACAAAGTCTTCTTATACAAATAAAAAGCACTTACAACACTATATCTACAACTTACATTTCTTACCTTTAACTTTATGTTTTCACTGAAAAATTTGGCTCAGAATAATACTCTTGAAGAAAAAACGTGTCCGCCCACATGCGTTTTCGTCAAAATCTCAGTCAAGACTGATTCAGACAGGAATAAACTTTTACCACCGAAGCAACACTATGCTACTAATACCCAAACGGGGTAATAGATGTCTACACTTATTGTAAAAGAAAATATTGCAAAGTCTCATGGTGGCCCACTCTCCCCTACTTGTCGAAATCACAAAATCGTCACCTGATTCTGCAAAACTTTTATCAAGGCGTATTCTTTGTGATACTAAATATATTCTTTTCCTTCCTGCGTTTCAGTCAGTGTGAAATAAAAATTTGTATATCGTTTATTTCATAACGTTTCGGCGAGACAATAGCGCCATCATCAGATTTAATTTTCATATAAACTCATAATTGGTAAACATTACATTCTGTTAGGTCTTTGCTGTGTTAGAACCTTAAATTTGTTTTAAAACAAATCGGTTAGGTACGTGTAAAATATTTGCGACAATTTTAAGTCTCTTACGCGTGAAAACTGCACTGCGTACAGGCAGATCCAAAGTTCGTTTTCTATCTGTTAGGCAGGCAAATTTGCGAGAAATTGCATCTGATTTCATTATTTTCGAACCCCCATCGTTTTCAATTCCATATAATTTTCCACCTCGTTTTCAAGCTAAGAAGTATAGAAGGTGGTTTTTTACGGTGCATCTGCAGCGTTTCAAGGTGCATTCCATGGCGAATGAAAAATGAGTAGTTCTATTTAAAAAAATACACTTTGATCTTGCCGCGCTTTTCTAAGACACTCTGAATCATATGAGATAATTTTAAAATGTGCGCACTTTGCGCGTCAACAACTTTTATATGAAACTATTTTTCGAAAGTTCAACACCATCGGAAATAACGGAATAATATCGCATTAAAAAACCACCCTGTAGGTATACATGTGATAATTAATCTAAGCATCTACTTTTGGTATTTACTTCAGAGGAGCGAAGAAAATATGTAATAAAACTTACTGTAAAATGATCTTCACAAACATAAATGCAGCTTTTCGACGATATTTCTTGGGGATTTCCTCGCGCCATTTGAAGCCACAGTTTTCGACGTTTTTCGTCCAAAAGCACTTTTATAAATGCTTTTTTTCTAGTGTAGGCGCCGTAGTACTGCTACACTCAGGCACCGTACAATATTTGTAGGCCATTTTCTTCAAATCATTAAGCACCCTTTCAAGTTGGCTTAAAAAAAAAGGTGAACAGCCATCACAACGTGAACTACAGAAAGAAAAAAAGAAAGAAATTCAAATTTAAATTGCTTATAACTAAAAAAAATAAAATTGTACAACGGTTACTTGACCATAAATGAACCGAATAAGCAAGGGAAAAATCTGCAAAGGGCCTATTCTTCTAGCCTAGTCAATACAAACGAAGAAGAAGATATGAGCATAGTCATTAGAAAGACGGCTTGCCCATTTCTCATTTTTTAACTTTTCATCTTACAATTTTAGGAGAAAAAGTGCCCAAAAATTGGACACTTGTACAATAACAAACATTCTTCTCCACAGGCTTTGCCGGCCAAAATTGCGAAGAAATAGTAAGAATGTGCTCGAAAAATCCTTGCAAAAACGGTGCTTTGTGTCTTCTGGAAGACAATCTACCAGTGTGCTACTGCGTTCCAGATTTCCACGGTGATTTGTGCCAGCTGCAATACGACGAATGCCTGCTCGGCCCAAAGTAATTCAAATCAATTCGCCCAGTCGTTCAATTAATTCCCTTTGGATGCTTCAGATGCTCAAATGGAGGCACTTGCATCGATGGAGTGGACCAATTTACGTGCTCTTGCCCCCCGAATTTGACTGGAACCTTTTGCGAGTGTCTCATGCTGCCCAACAATCAGCTGGACTGCGCTTATGTGCTACCGATGACGACGACAACGTACTACTTTGTAAACGAAACCACGTTTACGTCGACTGAATTTTTTCCAACCACTTGTAGGTTCAGGAGTAGAACATTTCTTTGTTCTTCCGTGTCTGAATTTGTTTGTTTTTCAGCCGCAGAAACAACAACTATGGAATTGGAAGCATCATCAACTACGACTGAACAATTCACTGACTCTACATTGATTTCCTCTGAAACGACTGAAGAAGCAACGACTTTGGAAACGACAACATTTGAAGCAGGTTTGTATCCGAGTCTGAAAAAATTTTGAAACGGAGAAAGAAAGAAAAATTCGTTGAGTGGGAAATATGAAGCAAAAAATAATCACTCACAACTGAGATTTTTGCAAAAATCTAAATATTAATTTGGTAATAAGGTTTTGGGTTTGCACTGTTGGGTCACGTGTAAAACATCAAAAACTTTGAGGTAAATAAAAAAATAATGATTTTACTGTGCGTAAAATATCTTCACTTTAATCAGTTGGCAAGAGAGAAATGCTTTTAAATTTAAGTTTTTCTATTGAATTCTTCTGAAGTGTTCTGAATTATCAGTGTAAGCGCAAGTCAAAAAATGACCTTTCGCTCACAAGCGGTCGTTCCGGCCTAAACGTTTCCCACTTCTGACTGAGACCAAACAGAAACTGGAAATTCGCACCGTAAATAGACGACACTTTATTGTAAATTTCCTGAAAAATTAATTTAAGTCACACTAAATGCTGACATTTTCCGACGTTGTAAACGCAAGCAAAAAAATTGTCGTAGCCACAAAATTTTTTAAAGACTTAGGATATGCAGATATTTGAAACGTTTACAGCTTGTGAAAGAAATATGATTGCAAAATCCCTAAAATTTCATTTAAATCGCCCAGGAAAGTGAATTTCAATAAAATTGAACAAATAAACTTTTTTACACGCTCTCACCAAACCTGATTTCTACCTACTTTGTAAACGCGGTTTAAAAGTAAAAAAATAAACTTTCTTATACAAGTGTAATACGTTCTTTCCGAAGAACTTCAGACCCTCTAGTGCACACTCTAGGCGAAAAATTCATCACTTTTCACCCACGAGAAGCATACACGTGAACATTAGAATGGCGGTTAAACCCGTCTTTTTCCGATTTTCTAAACGCTAGTAAAATGTAGAGTTCTCACTCACTAAAATGTTCAACTTCTGAGGCAGCACAAGCCGACAGTTCAAACTTTATTAGCTTGCAGAAGACACGTGACAGCAAAAAACTGAAAATTTAATTTAAATCGCTCAGAAAACTGCATTTTTAGGCTTTGAAAGACAAGACAACAAATCGATGTTTTCAGGCAAATGCACGCTTTTGCCTAAAAATTCGTAATATTAGGTTCAACACAGCTTGAAACTTGATATTAGCACCCTTCGGAATCGAAATTGGGGATCTAGTTTGATTCCGAAAGTTAAAAAAATGGTTACAGCTTGTGAAAGAAATATGATTGCAAAACCCGAAAAAAAAATTTACACGGTGTAACTGCACGCTCTCGCCAAACGATTTTAACTTCATACTTACACAAGAAGAAACCGGCAATTTTTACGGCCTATAAAAGATATTTGACCGAACTTTTAAACTGGAAAGTTGCATATTTTCGACGATGTAAATGCAAGTCCAAAAATTATTTTTTTTCACACAAGTACACGTTCCGGTCTAAAAATTACTAACTTGAGCCCCAAAACAGCAGAAACTTTGTATTCTTACAGTTTGTAGCCATCAGGTTATGAAAACCCCGAAAAATGTGTTTAACCAGTAGGAGAAACAGACAAGACAAAATAATTGTCCAAAAATGCTCGTTTTTTGATTCAGTAGACTTGCATTTTTCACAGTCACCACAACGCCGCATCTGGTTTTAAAAACCCCGAAATTTTCATTTAAAACGAACTGAAATTGTATTTTGGAGTTGTAAACACGAAAGACAGGAATTAATATTTTCAGGCGATTTATCCCTCTTATAAAAATGTTTACTTTTCGGACAGCTCAAGTAGAATCTTCAAATTTCTCAGCTTTTAAAAAATACTGTAGTCTGAAAACCATGAAAATTTCATTTAAGTCTCACTAAAACTAGATTTGTACTAACCGTGCAAACGCAAGTGAAAAAAGAGCTTTATCACACAAGCACAAGTGGCCTAAAATTTCCTAACTTGACCCAAAACAACAAAAACTTCACGTTCTTACAGTTCGCAGAAGTCAGAAGGTTATGAAAACCCTGACAAATTTATTTAGCTGGCTGTACAAATGAGCTGTTTCTGACTTTGCCGGACGAGACAAAAAAAGTGACCTAAAACGCTCAGTCCTAAAAATTCAAAAATTTACCTTGCAGAAACAGGAATTTGAAATTTCTCCGGTGAATAAAAGGCATCACGACATTTAAAACCGACCAAATTTCTTCAAAGACACACTGAAACTGTATTTTTCTGCCTTTGTAAAAACGTAAGACAATATTGAATATTATCAAGCAAGTTAATCTTCTAACTAAAAAAATTACATTATTTGCACAACCCAAGAAGAAGCTTAACATATCTCAGTATGTAAAAGTACCTGTAAACCTGATTTCTACCTACTTTGTAAACGCGGTTTAAAGTCCAAAAACTAACTTTCTTACACAAGTGAACGTTCTTTCCTAAGAACTTCAGACTCAGGGCAAACAGGAGCTAGACATTTATAAAGGAAATAAATAATATTTGATAATAATGAAGAAAACCGCACAAATTCCCTGTTTCTAAATGCAAGTAAAACGCAACGTAGGCTGAGAACATGCAGATATTAGAAATTTTTACATCTTATGGAAGAAATGATTGCAAAACCCGGTAAATCTCATTTAAATTGCTCGTAGAACTGTATTTTACCGACTTTGCAGATGCAAGACAACAACTGACTGCTTTCACGCGAGTGCACGCTTGGCTAAAAAATCATAACTTTTGCTTCTGCTTACAGTTTGCACAAGACTTTTAATACTAGATTTCACTAAAATGGCAGTTAAACCCGACTTTTTCCAATTTTCTAAACGCAAGTAAAAAGTTGAGTTTTCACTCACTAAAAGTCCCAACTTCTGAGGAAGCACAAGCCAGCAGTTCAAATTTTGCCAGTTTGCAGAAGACATGTGATAGCAAAAACCTGAAAATTCCGTTTAAATCGCTCAGGAAACTGTATTTTATGGCTTTGATAGGCAAGACAACAAATCGATGTTTTCAGGCAAATGCACGCTTTTGCTTAAAAATTCGTAATTTGGGGTTCAACACAGCTTGAAACTTGATATTCGCACTCTTCCGATCCCCTATTTTGATTCCGAAATTTTAAAAATTGCTTGCAAGTTACATTAAATCCGTAATGTTGCCGACTGTGTAAACGCAAGTCAGGATATATGTTTTTATCCTAAAATCGCCTCACCTCAGGCGCAGAAGAAACTTCAAATTGTCGGATAAGGCAAAATAATTCGCGTTTTCAAGCAAATGCAGGTTCCTGTGTAAAAGTTCCAAACTTTTGACTCTGCCCAAGTAGAAAGTTAAAATTCTCCTACTGGATAGAAGACATCTGGAACTGAAAACTTTAATTTAAGTTCTGACTTCGTAAACGCAGGACAAAAATAGATATTTGCACGCAAAAATATTATTAGGAAAAAACATTTCCCGATTTTTTCCAGTTTGTGAGTGCAAGTAAAAACTAAATTTTTCATACAAAATTCGTACGTTCTGACTCAGAGCAAAATCAAGCTACAATTTCCCAGGACCTGCGGAGCATATGCGGTTTCAATATCCGGAAAAAATCTTAAATTTTCCGTGAGTGAAAAAGCAAACTTTTGCACAGAAATATGTGGCTAATTTCAGAAACATCCTCGATTCCTACAACGGTAACTGCTCAATACAGCAGTTCACCGGCAAGTACTGGGGACGAGACCTCGCCTTACTCAACTCAGCTCACTACTATAGATTATTCGAGGGCCCCTACTTCAAGTAGCGTAGAAACTACTACAGACGACGTCCTGAATCTCGGTTCAACTGAAACCACAATTGCTGAAACTGGGGAGGCCAGCAGGGCTTTCCCCGAAGAAATTATAACATCCACAACACTGTTTTTCACTGAACAGCCTTCAACAGAACACCAAGGCTCTACAGAAACGACTCCCAGTGACTATAGCGAATCTACCCAAGGTCTGTGTTTAGACGCTTCATTTTCTAGCATTTTAACCAACTGTTCTTCAGCTACTACATTAATTGATGGTGCTACAACTATGGGCTTCACCGAGTCAGCAACAACTTCGTCCAGTATCGATTGCAGTTTAGCGGATGAATCATGCGAAAACGGCGGCACTTGCATATTTGCTTCTGGAAAACACCAGGTAGATAATGTTCACACCAATAAAGAACTGGCATTTTGCCACCCTTTTACTTCTAGTGCATGTGTCCATTTGATGCCGAAGGCCCTCTATGTGCCACCAAGCTGGGGATCAAAAATGCCGCATTTAACGGAAACAGCTTCCTCACCCATCGATTATCCGATGGTCAGAACATCTCCGTCGAGTTGGAAGCCAAAACTCTTTTCTCCACCGGGCTGATATTTGACGTTCACATGGATCAGGCCTTCATGGCTCTTTACGTAGAAAATGGCTTTCTGATGTTCAAGTTTTCTTGCGGCTACCAGACCATGCTGCTCAGTGAGCTTAAGGTTCCCATCAATAATGGATTTTGGATCAACGTTAAGGCCTGGTAAGATATTTTCTCTGATTACGATTCTGATCGTTTTGTCTGTAATTCTCATGGGAAGATTTGGTCTAAGCCTGTCAAGCAATTTTTTTTTAAATTTCAGTTTTAAATTAAATTTAATTTAATTTAAAACCTAATTTTCTTAAAAACCATTTTCATATAGTAAAATAAATGACTATATGAATAAATATGCTGAATAAAGGTACTGAATAGCAGGCAGCTATAGCGGAAAATGTTCAATGGCAGAGTTCTGGATAATACAAAAATCTAAAACTTTCGTATTGAACACTTTTTTAAATAACTTCAAATTAACCGTCTACATTTTTTTTTAATTTTCAGTATGTAATTTTTTTCTAGCGCATGAAAATGCGAACATGATTTCTCGCTTTGTGTTCGTATGTGGGTGAATCAAGTGTAAGTTTCGTGGTCGCTAATTTCAGGCTAAACCCAGCTGACGGTAGCTAATAGGCTCGAAACCGGTCCGGGGGGTGCCTGAGGTTGGCGAATCTCGAGATTTGCGCTATCTTACTTTAACCTCTATATTTGATTGAGTAGTTGGGCAAAACATAGATTGTGCTATATTTTTGGAAAGATAATTTCAATCGCAATTTAAATATGATAAAATATTAAGAGTAGCCCATTTAAAAACAAGATTTTTTTGTAGATAACTCGAAAATTATTTGCTTACCCCAAATGAAATTCACATTATTGTGAGTTTCAATACGTGAAAAAAATGCTTTGGAAACGTTTAATAAAATCATAGGGAAAGAATTCCTTCAAAAACTGCTACTGGGTCTAAACAATGTAAAGTCTACATTTAAAAGAGCCAAAATCGTGAAATGTTGGCAACATTGTGTTTTAGGCACATTTAGTTCTTATAGTTCCTAAGTCGCTGTGAGCTGTAAGTATATTATAGAAGTTTTTTTTTTCCCGGTGAGGTTTCAGAAATGCTCTCTTACGCACACCCAGAGCTGACGTTCTGGCGCTCTGGGCTGTGTGGGACTCCACCTTAGCTGTTCCCCCACTAAAACTCTTTTCTCACCTGCGAGATGATGTTTGGCATAGCATACAGGTCATTTTTGTCCTATTGTGCCCTTGTATTTTACACCCTCATTATCCCTGTGTTTTCAATGAATTCCAGAAGAATCTTGAGGGGGGTACGCATGACCTGGTCTGGTAGGACTTCATCCCCTCCCAGGCGTCTTGGCCTACCTGTTGCATATAACTTGTTGTTTCCTCCCTCCCTATGATTTTATCAGGGAACTGATTTTTTTCTATGGTTCCTTTGAAGGTGCCTTATGGAGGAGAATTACGCTAAGGCGTAGCTCCGAGTATCTTCGATATATTTGCATTATTTCCTCCATGAAGCCCTTTGTGCTATTTTTATAGCGTTGCCATACCTCGTCAGGGATATTTTGGATTCACCCTAGAAGGACTCCTTTCGTCGAGCCCTGTTAAATAGCTTTCTAACCGTTTTCCTCATCGTTGAGAGTCCTGAGTTCCATCATTTGGATGTCCTCGTTTGCCTCTTCAACTTCAGAAGGCATGCAGATCCGTAGGCTGATTTTATTGGTGATGTGACGGTAGTCACCATCATTTCTAACTCCAGCACCGTAGATGCTTCGGTTGGGCAGTCCCCCAACTGCAACCTAAGGTTCTCTTTGTACGTGACCCAGTCAGTTGTTTTCGGATTTCTATACTTCGAGAAGGATACCTCTTCCGACTCGATATTGAATTGTATGTATCTATGATCGAACAAGCTGGGCCAGCTGATATCCAGCACATGCCAATCTCTTATCAGTTCGCTAGTGTAATCTGAGCAGCTTGTAATGTTAATGACCTACCTTCGTACCGTCGTTACAAAGGTTGGTTCATTCCCCTGATTAGAGGTTTCAATCGATGAAGTCGTAAGGTATTCTAAAAGAGACTCGCCCAGTCTATTGGTATCACTGCTGCCCCACAAATGTGGTGCGCATTTGCGTAACACCCAATGACGCTTCTCCTATTTGGTCGTAAGGTAGGTATGCAGAGGGCTGAACTATGCTCCGATCCCCGCCCTTCAACTTCAGTCTTATTCTTATACCCATGAAGGCTCTACTACAGTGTTCCCATAACGGTATATCTCTGACTGTATTCTTTATGAGAATGCATGTTCGTGGGTTTTCCTCAGATCGGCAATAGAGTACCTGTCCTCTGAAGTTCCCCAATACTCTAATTCTCCCTTAAGCTGGGTTCTCATGAGTCGGAATGCGCCCGAAATGCGGAAAACGTTCCGACTAATCAGAAGTTTGCCGGATGCGATAGCTCCGCCCATCAGCAAAAGTTCCCAAATTTTAAAATTTTCCGCAATGTATTTCCGTGGTACCGTGGAAGACCATTTCTGGTCTTACACGGTACTGGCGGTATATCCTCCCTTGCTAGAAGAGAGGGCCCTGAACATAACCTTCGAGAAATTATAATGGGGACGACATCACCCAACTTCCCTCACACAAATTCCCACGAGTTCTGGTCCATGAGGATCGTCAGCCGTCTATTGCTGGCTTGCTCGCTCCCCAACCCCACAACCTTCCAGGTACTGGTGTTCATATTATTCTCGACACCAATTCTATGTAGTGTCTTTTCCGGAGGTGTAATCTCCGAGATAAACACTATTGTTCGCATTGGCTTTAGAAGCATGTTTGCCTCCACAAGCACCAGCTCTGCTTCATTTCAGGTCCAGGTTCTTCTCGGGATATCCGATCACCTCTATGGCCATCTTAATCCCGGAAACCGCATCTTTGTACGTCTTGTGTGCGGTTCCTCTTCTTACGGAAGTTCCCACACACAGCCGCTTAGGTGCTGGCTGGTTAGGTGTGCTGTCATCCGACTGCTATCGCTTTTGCGTCCCTGTCGTGGCAGCTTTTTTGTGGTGTGCTGGTTCCCCTGAGGGTCTACCTAGCACACTTTTGGCAGGTTCCAGCTTTCGTTTTCCCCTGGCCTTTTTTTGACTTCCACCTGTCGGTCCCCGAGAGTTTGTTACCACCTTTCGGTACTTTGCCAGCTGCGGAGCCCGATGGTTCTTCCGAGGAAGCCCCGCCGGTATTTGGTGGTGATGCTATGGGGATGTCCATATCATTCACACGAGCAGCTAGGGAAAGGTTGGTCCACCTACACAGAGCCCCGCTGATACAATGAGGTGTGCCGGTTGCCTCAAGGTTAGTCGCTATTGGCTGGGCTTTCCCCCAGCGTTGCATCTTTTGGCGCGCACTATACTGTGAGAATTGGGAGGTGTTATAGTGACCTCATCACGCGATCCGTACAGTGAAATCAAGATCCCCGCTACCCCTACAGTACCTACCCCGAGGCTGTAGCCACCAAAGTCGTTGCACTGCAGGCGGTTTGCGGTTTTATTCCATGATCTTCACTTATGGCCGTCACTAACTGGTCAGATCTATCAGACCGGCCTTCCTCCTATCCACCACCTGGGGACGCGCCCGATGGGTAGCTCAACCTTCACCGCAATATTATATTATGGAAGTATACCATTGAATAATTTTTGCAGTCTAGAATTCGCCAAGGACTTGCAGCATTGCTATGCCCAGATTAAACTGAACGGAACTCTAACCATGACCGGGAACCAAATGGCACAGTTGAATAAATATTCCAAAACTGTTGTACGGATGCACTTGGGAGGCATTCCTAATGAGATTCTACACAATGGACTGCCCATGCAAGGATTCGTCGGCTGCATGTCCCACCTGATGGTATATCCTAAATAAGAACACATTGCCTCCAAAACGATACCAATGATCGCATAGATTTCAGGAAAATCGATTCAAATTCAAAAAGACGCAGAGGATGGTTTCGGGATCGCGGAATGTTCCTCTCTGGGATGTTTGGCGAATCCATGTAAAAACGGAGCTTCTTGCACTGCGGACAAAGAAAACTGGAAATGCCATTGCAGAAATGGGTAAGATTTGACATAAAAAGTCCTCCAGAAAATTAACAAAGAGTGTTTCAACAGGAGCGCAATATGTGCTAACCGCGTTAAGAACCCGTTGATTTGTACATAAAACTTTTTGATTTGGACATTTTTCACACGAATTATTTGCAGCTTTTTAGGACAAACATGCGACATTTCGATCTGCAATAACAACCCCTGCCTATTTGGAGGCACTTGCGTGCCCTTCTCCAACAGCGGCTACATCTGCCTCTGCCCCTACGGAAAACACGGGCATTTCTGCGAAAACGGTGCTCCTACTAACATGGAGGCACGAGCGTTTTCAATGTGCAACTTTATTTTTTAGATCTTCAAATATCGGAACCCTATTTCTCCTCCACAGTCAAGGGCCTGTCCTCCTATGTGGCCTACCAGCTGCCCGAGGGAGTTTCCCAGCGAATGGAGATCAAATTTCGATTCACCCCTACAACGGCCGACCAGATTTCGCTTCTGCTTTTCATCGGTCAAGACGGGCAACATGACGCCTATTCGGATCATTTGGCAGTCAGTTTTGTTCAGGGGTACATTCTGCTCACTTGGAACATGGGCTCAGGTGAGACATCAGCTCAGTAGTGACGAGCAAAGAAAGCAAGAACAAGTCCATGCAGATGGGTAGTTTGAATGGGTTCTTGTCTACGTGAATCTGCTGATGCCGTTTTATTCCATTTCGAGGTCCCCGAAGGATATTCACCACTAAACCGGTGGAAACGGGGTCGCGGGACTACTTGGTGCAAGTTGGTTACAATGAGAGGCAAGCCTGGTTGTTTGTGGAAAACATGGGCAATGTTTCGGGAAGATCCCCTGGACCTTCGACGCAACTGAACACAACGCCTCTGCTATATTTTGGTATGTTTCCCGAAAATTCACTTCGCACAAGAAATATCCAGTATTTTGGCTTTTCCGCCAAATTAGGAGAAATAAATAAGGAGAAAGTTACGGCTTCCATAAACAGCCAATTCGTAACGATTTATCAAGTATGAATGTTTTGAATTAAATTATTTATTTTATTTATTTATTTAATACCAGAAAATAAATTACATATTAAATGTAATTCTACAGAGGCAAATAAATTACCTGTACGCAGTCCAGTATACGCAAACTTATTATATATACAGGGTGATTCAAAATTGGCGTCATTCCTTTTCAGGGGTGATAGAGGCTCACTTGGGGAGTACGAGAAAAATATTGA